ACTTCATCCAACCAAAACAACACAATATTTTCAACATATACATTAAACTATTTCAAAATAAACTTCACCCAACTTCAAAATAAACTAAAATACGATCAAATTAAACAATTCCAAAAATATAGAAGTCTAAAATGTCAAATAGATACAACTACTCCTCATCACCCTCACTCTCCTTATCAGACTTACCATTCTCATCACCCTCACTTTCCTTATCAGACTTATCATTCTCATCATCCTCCTGATCAGATCCACACTGCTGGCCGGACATGGAGGAAAAATATTTCCTGATTCAAAAAGAAAAGTTAGTTGGGCCTGAAGCGCTGCATACCTCTTGTTCTCTACCTCCTTTGCTGCCGCAATCTCTTCTTCTCTCTTTCGGCTACAACAACAAGCTCGGCATTGAGATAAGTTATCTTACTCTCCATTGCAGCTATTGTCTCTCTATCCCCGCCATCAAAGCTTGAGGATGATGAACCACAATACCAAGACTTCTTCTTCTGATACGCCTTTTCTGGATAGCCATAGACTGAACCTCTAATCGGTTCACCAGCACTCTGTTTCCAAAGATTCTCGTTTTCTTCTTGTGTAAATGGTCTGTCCTAACTCTCAAGAGGTAGAGTACTACGATATTCCTGAGATATTCGTATATACCTATCCTGTAATTTAAACAAAGAACTCTACGATTAAGAATGTAATATATACAAGGAAAAGAAAAAAAGATTAGTTTGAATGGAGTTCTTACATATGTCTCTTGAGCACATGGCTCAATCCATCTTTCTTCTTTTGTGGGTTCGTACTCTTCTTGACGTGAGTAACCTTGAACATCTCTGGTACAGCTACCGGCCTACCCAACTTTTTTTCCTGCAAATAACATATATAGAATTTGATTTCATTAATCTCCAAAAAGTACTTATCAAAATAGAAAAAAATATTTTACTAAATTAAGAAAGTATACCATTATTTCCTTCCTAGTAACCTGGCTAATAGCTCCACCAGTGTGCAAAGATCCTCCCTTTTCTGATGCGCGAGCCATCTTCCCAATCTCACTCCTCTTTTTAAAATTTTCCTTAGTACTCCAATGTTTCAGTAACAGAGCCCATCGATCCGGTAACATGAACTTAGGAATTTTGTTTTCTCTTCGACAGTCACAAAATATGCTAGAAAGCAACTTTGAAGCTTTAAGCTTGAAGTTCACTTGAACGTCATCCTCGTGTTCGGGAGCCCATACATAATATTTCTGTAATAAAAAATAACTAAATATTTATTGTTCAAATGACTAGAGAATTTAAATGTATATGATGTGAATTTAATTTATATATATTCTTACCTTAAATTCATTGAACATCTGTCCTTGGGTGTTTACTGGAATCGAACTCCAATTCGGATACACACCATTATAGTGAGTTTTGATGCACTTTAAAATAATTTTTGCCATACCCACATCCGGACGTAAGCTGAAATACGAGTTCATTGACGAAGTAGAGTAAACAGAAAAATAATCAATCAATTAAAATATAAATAGATAAATGAAAGATGAAACATAAGTAAATCATACTTGTATCCTAATGGCTCGATGACGAGTCTCTGAAAATTGTCTCTATCGCCTGGCTGAGGACCATGTGCATCTGAGTGCTGGGTGGTGGGAGTATTAGGCTCTGAGCCATTGGATTCAAGATGAAGATTGGAAAGTCCAATTGATCCACTACTAGTATTCAAACTATTGCACTGACTAGCACTAGCTGATGGTATGGTAGACCCACGACCAAGATGTGAATAGCCCTGCAATGTTTGGTAACCCGAACTACGTACCACAGTGGGTGTAGATATAGTATAACCAGATTGTGGAGCCACATGAGTAGAGACATTATGTGACTGGTGTGCCAAGTGAGTAGTTGAAACTAAGGCTCTTTTTGAAATATTAACTCAAGAGGGCTCATCAGATATCACGACCCCAATGGGCCTTCTGACAGCATTGGCCTTAAATTTCTTTTTTGGATTAGCGGATTTTTTTTATCTACCCTTGTCTTTATCTACCATCTATATCAATTAAATATAAAGATTAAAATAAAGTAGTACAAAATAATGTCACAATGTCGAACAAATATATCAAACAAAGTTATCATAACGTAAGGCTTAATCCAAACAGTCTTTCACAATGTCGAACAAACGTTAAATTAAAACTACTAAAATATAAAGTATACTCAAATATAAATAGCTAAAAATCCACCAACTAAACATACAAATTGTTATTTACTTTCACCTGGGGCATTTCACTTTAGCTTATGTTTAACTTTTTTGGCTTTTGGAATGGCTTTCAGCTCAAAATGGGCAGACTGAGGTGGACAGGAGTTTCCCCAAAATCTATCATTCAAATTGCTTTGGCAATATTATTGAAAACTGTTGCAATGTTGTTCAATTTACAAGTTATATTTCAAAGAAGTGGTAATATTGTCCCTAAACTCTTTTTCTCCATTTCCAGTCACAACACTTAGTTTCTACAAATTCAATGATCAATAAAGGGAATGTGTGTTCACATGTTTCAGAATATCTACCTACATTACTTAAAAATCGATGTAAAAGGCTTACATTGAACTGTAACTTGTGAGATTGAACTCTTTTCTATGTATCAAACTCTGCAATTCTAAGGATTCTTTGACATGACTCATGAGCTACTTGTCATTAATTGAGCTAAGTGTCAACACTAGATGGACACAAATCGATCTTGCAAAAAATCAATTTTGTCATCAATAGGATCAACTAGTGTTGATACTTATGCTTAACAAACACATTATTCCTAAATTAAAGCTTAATATCAACAGTAGATGGACACAAATCGATCTTGCAAGACGCGTTAAAACTACTAAATAGTCTTTCACAATGTTGAACAAAAGTTAAAACTACTAAAATATAAAGTATACTCAAATATGAATAGCTAAAAATCCACCAACTAAACATACAAATTGTTTTTCATCCTCTTCAGAGGTTTCTTCATCATCTATCCATTCGCATGCATCATCTTCGGAAGTTTCCTCCTCATCTATCCATTCATCCTCTTTGAAAGTTTCCTCCCTATCCTCCTCCATATTTGTTGGCATATCTAACTCTTCTCTATTAACTTCTTCTAAAATGTGATCAGGATGCTCCAAATTCATTTCTAACTCAGCATCCACTACTTGATGAACACTTGATATTTCATTTTGATATGCAACATGCAATTCATTCTCAACTTCCACTCGCCCCATCAATTTTGTTTTGATTACAACCCACCAATCAGACATATCCCTACTCAACGGATAAGGAGCATAGTACACTTGCTTAACATTCTGTGCAATAATAAAAGGATCATAAGTCTCATATTTCCTAGTGTGCTTGACTTCAATGATATTATGTTGCTTAAGCTCCCTCGTACCTCTTGAAGTTGGATCAAACCACTTGCATTGAAAAAGTACTATTCTTTTGATTGGTCAACCCGAATACTCCAACTCTACAATCTCCTGTAGGACGCCAAAAAAATCAACATTCTTATTTTGATTTCCATCATCACCTTTAACCCAAACACCACTATTATTAGTTTTCTTATTCTTTGAGTATTTCTCTGTGGAAAATTTAAAATCATTTACGTTATATTGGAACATTGTGTGAACTGTAATCGGTCCCCAAGAAATATCCTTGAAAAACTGATCAAATGTGGCGGCATTTTCTGAATTGTAGACCTATATATGGTTAGTAAATTAAAAGTAATGTTAGTAGAAAGAAGAGTACACTAATCTCTTAATAGGTGTATATATTACAACACTTACCCAATTATTATACCACATTATAAATGATGGAAACACTTGATCATGACCATATTGGCACACAAAATAACTGTAGAATCACATTGAAAATACAGTTAGTTTCCTTAATAAAATCGGAGTTGAATATATGTTGTTTACATATTTAATTTTCTTACTCTAAGAAGGGTGGGGTTGGACTTCTGGACAATTCAACAAGACATGAAGCTCTGCAGATTTTTTCTCCTTTTCGGTAAGTTTGCGCAATGTATGTTTTTTTGAACCCATACCCAATTGGTTGAAGATTGATAATGATTGTACTGCAGAATCATTCCCAATATCATCATGTCGATTAGGTCTGTTTCTCAAACACGACACATAATCATCAAAGTAGTAAGAACAAAAGTGGGATCTTTCTTTAGCTAGATATACTTGAATCATACAGCCCTCCACCCTATGTTTATTCTTAATGCCCCTTTTAGACTTGCCAATGCTCATGTAAAATTTTATATTAGATATATAATTTCAAAAGATATATGAACGATTTATGAAAAATGAATAAATATGTTATAGTTACTTACCGCTCAAAAGGATACATCCATCTATATTGGACTGGACCTCCCAGTAGGGCTTCATGAACAAGGTGAATGGGAAGATGTTCCATCACATCAAAGAACCCAGGTGGAAGAATCTTCTCCAACTTATTACTACTAACAATGATATTTTTGGCCATCCGAACCAGATTCTCTACTCTCAATATGCTGGAACACTAGTCTTTCAAGAACAAACTGATCTCTGTCATCGGTTTCCATATGTTTTCAGGCAATCCACAAAAAGCAATCGGAAGTAATTGTTCCATGAAAACATGACAGTCGTGACTTTCATCCCATGTAATATTCCACGCTCAATGTCAACCCTCTTTCCCAAATTTGAGGCATATCCATCTGGCATTTTCAAGCTTTTCACCCACTCACAAATATTTCTCTTTTGTTCCATTGTGAATGAATAACTAGCCTTGGGCTTAAGTAACTTGTTGTTGGCAGACTCCTGTAAATGCAACTCCGGTAGTCTACAATGTTCTGGTAAGTCAAGTCTCACCTTAACATTATCTTTTGTCTTGCCAATCACATCCATTACAGTGTTGAACAAATTATCAAAATAATTCTTTTCAATATGCATGACATCAAGATTATGTCTAAGCAAATTATCCTTCCAATAAGGTAACTCTCAGAATATACTCTGTTTAGTCCAATTATGTGCAACACCATACCCATCAAATTTGTACGGTGGTTCCTCAGTTACCTTTGGAAAATTTTGAACCCTTTCCCAAATATCATCACCCGTTAATATTGGGGGTGGACCATCTCGTTCAGTTTTATTCTTTTTAAATGCATATTTCTTTCTCCTAAACTTATGATCAGGTGGCAAGAACCGACGGTGACAATCAAACCATGAATTTTTTCGGCCATGTTTTAATGTGAATGATTTAGTATCTTCCATACAGTAGTGACATGCTAACTTTCCAACAATCATCCATCCAGATAGCATTCCATAGGCAGGAAAATCATTAATAGTCCACATTAAAGTAGCACGCATGTTGAAATTTTGTTTACGAGAAATATCCCATGTTTCTACCCCCTCAGACCACAACAATTTCAACTCATCAATCAAAGGTTGTAAGTACACATCAATCTTACTTTTTGGATTACTCGGACCAGGAATGACACAATTCAGAAATATATATGGACTTGTCATACACACCTCAGATGGAAGATTATAAGGTGTAATAAACACAGGCCAACAAGAATATGGTGCAGCCCCAACTGAAAAAGGGGTGAAACCATCCGCACACAAACCCAGCCTAACATTCCTTGGTTCAACGGCAAAATCTGGATAAGTTCTATCAAAATGTTTCCAAGCCTCTCCGTCAGATGGATGACACATGACACCAGGTGGCCTTTTATTTTCACGGTGCCATCTCATATGAGGAGCAGAGTTATTTGATGCATACAACCTCTTCAATCTTGGTATAAGAGGTAAATAATGCATCACCGTAATAGCAAGTTTCTTTCCGGTAGAACCAGTCTTATAGTGAGGGTGACTACAAAACTTACAAGACTCTAGATCGACATCCTCCTTATAGTATAACATGCAAACTTTTTCACAACAATCAATTCTTATCGAGGAGAGTCCTAACTTAGACACCAATGCATTTACTTTATAATAAGAATCAAGAATCTCTACATTAGGATCAACTAATTCCTTTATAAGATCTATCATAGAGTCCATTGCTCCTTGAGAAATATTATTGTCAGATTTGATACTTAACAATCTAACTGCAACAGACAATTTAGAGTGTTGATTCCCGCTGAACAAAGGACTACTACAATCACGCAATTGTTCATAAAAGATGTTTGCTTCTTCTACATTTTCTCCTTGTTCAAAATCAGAATGCATCCCAAAAGCATCATTGACCATATCTGACATTCTAGAACCTTGAAAATAATTATGCTCGGTAGATCTACTACTTTCACCGACAACAAAGTTATTAAACATAGTGTCACTTTCACCTCACCATGACTAGTCCAAACAGTATACCCTGGTTTGAATCCATTCATCATAAGATGCATAGCAACAGTCTCTGTTGTATGATATCTCACATTTTCACAAATAACACACAGACACCTAATCAATCTTGAAGTAAAAAAATCATCAAGTGTCTTTGCATGATTTATAAATCTAGTGACACCTTCTACGAATTCTGGAATCATACCCGCTCGACCAGGATTGTTTCTATTATACATCCAACTACGATCCGGATCCATCTACACAAACAATAATGATAATTTTAATTCCAACAACTAAATTCACCAACAAAACGACATTATTTATTTTTACTTATTTAAACAACTTAACAACATTAACTAGTTTAGTTTTGACTTAATTCCAACAACTAAATCCACCAACTAAACGACATTATTTATTTTAACTTATTTAAACAACTTTAACAGGTTTAGTTTTGACTTAATTCCAACAACTAAAATCACTAACTAACCCACATAATTTTTTAAACTTATTTAAACAACTTAACAACTTTTTAACGTTAACTAGTTTAGTTTTGACTTAATTCCAACAACTAAATCCACTAACTAAACGACATTATTTATTTTAACTTATTTAAACAACTTAACAACTTTTTAACTTTAACTAGTTTAGCTTTGACTTAATTCCAACAACTAAATTTACTAACTAACCCACATTATTTATTTTAACTTATTTAAACAACTTAACAACTTTTTAACGTTAACTAGTGTAGTTTTGACTTAATTCCAACAACTAAATCCACTAACTAAACGACATTATTTATTTCAACTTATTTAAACAACTTAACAACTTTTTAACTTTAACAAGTTTAGTTTTGACTTAATTCCAACAACTAAATTCACTAACTAACCCACATTATTTATTTTAACTTATTTAAACAACTTAACAACCTTTTAACTTTAACTAGTTTAGTTTTGACTTAATTCCAACAATTAAATTCACTAACTAACCCACATTATTTATTTTAACTTATTTAAACAACTTAACAACTTCTTAACGTTAACTAGTTTAATTTTGACTTAATTCCAACAACTAAATCCACTAACTAAACGACATTATTTATTTTAACTTATTTAAACAACTTAACAACTTTGTAACTTTAACTACATTAGTTTTGACTTAATTCCAACAACTAAATTCACTAAATAAACGATATTATTTATTTTAACTTATTTAAACAACTTAACAACTTTTTAACTTTAACTAGTTTAGCTTTGACTTAATTCCAACAACTAAATTCACTAACTAACCCACATTATTTATTTTAACTTATTTAAATAACTTAACAACTTTTTAACGTTAACTAGTTTAGTTTTGACTTAATTCCAACAACTAAATCCACTAACTAAACGACATTATTTATTTTAACTTATTTCAACAACTTAACAACTTTGTAACTTTTACTACATTAGTTTTGACTTAATTCCAGCAACTAAATTCACTAACTAAACGACATTATTTATTTTAACTTATTTAAACAACTTTTTAACTTTAACTAGTTTAGTTTTGACTTAATTCCAACAACTAAATTCACTAACTAACCCACATTATTTATTTTAACTAATTTAAACAACTTAACAACTTTTTAACTTTAAGTACATTAGTTTTGACTTAATTCTAACAACTAAATTCACTAACTAAACGACATTATTTATTTTAACTTATTTAAACAACTTAACAACTTTTTAACTTTAACTAGTTTAGTTTTGACTTAATTCCAACAACTAAATTCACTAACTAACCCACATTATTTATTTTAACTTATTTAAACAACTTAACAACTTTTTAACGTTAACTAGTTTAGTTTTGACTTAATTCCAACAACTAAATCCACTAACTAAACGAAATTATTTATTTTAACTTATTTAAACAAGTTAACAACTTTTTAACTTTAACTAATTTAGTTTTGACTTAATTCCAACAACTAAATCCACTAACTAAACGAAATTATTTATTTTAACTTATTTAAACAAGTTAACAACTTTTTAACTTTAACTAATTTAGTTTTGACTTAATTCCAACAACTAAATTCACTAACTAACCCACATTATTTATTTTAACTTATCTAAACAACTTAACAATTTTTTAACGTTAACTAGTTTAGTTTTGACTTAATTCCAACAACTAAATTCACTAACTAAACCACATTATTTATTTTAACTTATTTAAACAACATAACAACTTTTTAACTTTAGCTAGTTTAGTTTTGACTTAATTCCAACAACTAAATCCACCAACTAAATCAACTTTATCATCTATAGGATCAAATAATGTTGGTATTTATGCTTAACAAATATATTATTTCTAAATTTAAAGCTAAGTGTCAACACTAGATGGACACAAATTGATCTTGCAAGAAAATCAATTTTGTCATCAATAGGATCAACTAGTGTTGGTACTTATGCTTAACAAATATATTATTTCTAAATTTAAAGCTAAGTGTCAAAACTAGATGGACACAAATCGATCTTGCAAGAAAATCAATTTTGTCATCAATAGGATCAACTAGTGTTGGTACTTACGCTTAACAAACACATTGTTCCTAAATTAAAGCTTAATATCAACGCTAGATAGACACAAATCGATCTTACATGAAAATCAATTTTGTCATCAATAGAATCAACTAGTGTTGGTACTTATGCTCAACAAATATATTATTTTTAAATTTAAAGCTAAGTGTCAACACTAGATGGACACAAATCGATCTTGCAAGAAAATCAATTTTGTCATCAATAGGATCAACTAGTGTTGGTACTTATGCTTAACAAACACTCGATGGACACAAAAAAATTATCACAAAATTAAAGCTAAGTATTAATACTAGATGGACACAAACACATTATTCAAAACAATTGTACTTGAACTTAAGAAATTTAGACGCACCAACCTTATCTCCAACTTTGATGAAAGAAGCAATATAGTCTTGTATCAACTTTTTTACATGTTGAGCTTCCTCAATTGCCTAGCACGAAAAGTTCTTAAATTAGTTAAATATAAACTTCATATCCAAGAATATTAGTTTTATATATATATATATATATATATATATATATATATATATATATATATATATATATTCAAGTTTTAATAAGTTCAAGTTTCAATTCAAGTTCATATCTAATTTCTAAACTTAATTAGTTATATATTCAAGCTAATTAGTTCCAAGTTCAAGTTCTAATTTCAAGTTCATATTCCTAATTAAGTTCAATTTATAGTAAATTCAAGTTATAATTAATTATAAGTTCTAATTAAGTTGTAATTCAAATCCCTAAAATTCTAAATTCAAACTAGCTAGCTAGTGTCCCAACTTCAAACTATTAATTAGTCCTAAAATATCAAATATAATTCAAACTATTAGTCCTAAATTCCAAATTCAAACTAGCCTTAAAATCACAAATTGAAAGTACTCCTAGAATTCAAAAATCAAACTATAGTGCTAAAATCCTAAATTCAAACTATTAGTAGTCCTAAAATCTCAATAATAATTCAAACTAGTCCTAAATTCAAAATTCAAACTAGTCTTAAAATCACAAATTCAAACTAGCCCTAAAATCCCAAAATCTAACTAGTGCTAAAATCCTAAATTAAAATTAGCTAGCTATTCCTAATCCCAAATTCAAACTATTAGTCCTAAAATCTCAATAATAATTCAAACTAACTCAAATAATACCCAAATTCAAACAACTCCTTAAATACCCTAATTCAATCTAATCTTACAATTTCAAAATCAAACTAATTAACTCAAGAAATACCAAATTTCAAACAAATCTTAAGATACCCTAATTCAAACTAACCCTAACATTAAAATTTTCAATTCACAATCAACAAACACAAACTAACAATCAAATAATCCCTAATTCAAACTAACAATCAAAAACCCTAAATCATTCACTTACTAACTAACAATCAATAAAACTAACAATCAATAAAACTAAGTATATTAGTACTCTAATTTTGAGATACTTCAACTAAATAGAAACAAAAGTAATCTTTTATGGAGGTTCTAAAAATTCACCTTGAGTAAGAAGGTCAGGGATGGTGGCGCGAACTGAGAAAGCTGATATGGAGGCGGCGCCGGTCGGGATGGAGGCGGCGCCGGTCGGGATGGAGGCAGTGCGACCTTCCTCTGCAGTTGCGCGCCCTCTGCAGCTGCGCACGACCTTCCTCTGCTGCTGCGATGGTGGCGTGGCGTGGTGCGGATCGGGGATGGGTGGGGATGGGCGCCGATGGAGGTGGCCCGGGGTGGGGAGTGAGACTTCACTTAGGTTTTGAGACTTCACTTAGGAGTGAGATTTGATATTATCATTCTTTTTTTAAGAGAATTGTTTAATTTACCGACCACGAGATGTCGGTATTTTTAAAAATAATTATCTATATTTAAAATTATTTAATAAACACCGACATCGTGAAGTCGATATTATTTAAATAAAATAATAATTTAAACACCGACATATATACATACATATATATATATATATATATATAGACATTAAATTTAATAAATTTAATTTATCAATCAAGTTAATTTTATAAATTTAAATTATATAACTCCTAAATATATAAATTTAATTTTATTGATCAACAAAAGTTTATCAATATCAAATTTAATATATAAATCTCCTTGAATTGATCATCGGTATTTCTTTAATTGATAATGTATTTCATATCTAAACCACTAGTATATAAGACTTGATTTGTTAATCTACTCGGGGAGTATATAATTAATCAACGTATTTATATATATATGATTTAACTACACATCAACAGAAGTTTAATTTAATAAATTTAATTTATCGATCAAGTTAATTTTATAAATTTAAATTATATAACTCCTAATTATATAAATTTAATTTTATTGACCAACAAAAGTTTAT